TGAACTGCTGAACTGCAGATAACAGTCAGCTGAAGTGGCCTGCAGTACTGCACCCTAACCACTGCACCACCTCGGCTGTCTATGAACGCCAAAACTGCCTGCAACGTTCCTCTACAAAAACGCATGGTCAAGTTGACAGTCTTATTTTTTTTCCAATGTCATTATTACTGCAATGTAACAACTAGGATCCTAATTAAATTAGAGCTCTAATCAACAATTCTCATAGTATAACATGCCAAGCACAGAGCCTTTACAGACATTTTTTGTTTGCTCCTCAGATTATATCTCGCTGTGATATCATGCTACTAATGGAAATAAAGGACAATAGGAACAGAATATGCCCCTTTCTGTTAGAGAAACTAAATGGGTAAGATGCAGAAATGAAGTTTTAGTCAAACTGGCAGGGTTTGGATGCAGATTGGGTGACATTGGATAAAATATTCGTAATAGAGCCACTAATTAGAGTAAGTGTTTCCTTATTGCTCTTCTTGTTATTGGAGGAAAGAAGAGGAAAAAGAGAGGCAATATATGTTTGATATATAGGTCGGTGGGTGATATGCGTATGAGACACAAAACCAATATTGATCAAAGATTATCAGAATGAAACATTAGTCTGTACCATGCACATTTTAAACTATATTTTATTTTCACCACATTTGTAATATTTATAACTATAATTATAAATATTCAATATGATTAAAACTATAAACAAATACAATAAATGCGCAAAGGGTAAGGTTGGAACTTTTAGAAACACAAGAAGGGAACCATTATTGTGAGGTATTGTGCATTTCTTCATACTTCACTCTAAAGGAGTCCATTAAATTATTCTTGCCTTTTCCTAGCTTTTCTTAAAAGTCAGTTTGTAAATTGGCCAAAGTGGGGATTTTTAAAAATTACTATTTTTCTTTCCCTGAGCTACCTTCCTTTCCAGTGGCTAATCTTTTGTAAGTCCATCATACAAGATTCTTTTCTTTTTCCAGTCACTTGAGTTTAAAAGACTTTACTCCCAGCTCCCAAGCATAGAGGAAAACTGGCTCAGAAAAGAAAAATTGTATTTAAAAACATGGATCAAATTTGAAACTGGAGCTGTTCTTCACCTCAAGCAAGCGCTAAAACCACTGTGCCACTGAGAATGACCTCTAGCAAAAAGTGCAACAGATCTTCTTGAACAAGAAGTGTGGGGGAGGGCATTCCTGGCTATGCACAGGGGCTAAGAAAGTATCTGGAAAAAAATGGGTTGCTTAAAAGAAAGTAAGCTACTGCCATGCTTACACCAGATGCAAGATAGAAAAAGGCTACTTTGGACAGGGAGCAGAGGAACCCAGGCAGAGATTGTATTTGTGGTGGGCTAAAAGGGAGGAGCTGACAATGTGCTTTCCTGCTCTCTCTAAATTGTTGGGGGCGGTGCAGATATGCCCACCTGGATCTGAGAAATGGATTAAAAATCAGATTCTTTTTTCTTCCCAGACGGTCAGAAGGAACATACAGTTATGTGGTCAGTAACAGGTTAGGAAGAAGGCATTACAAGGAGCAATATGCGTTTTTCTACAGGTATGTTGATTTCATAAGTTCATTCAATATAGATGATATTTTTCAGAAACTGTGAAGAAAAAAATTGCAGAGGCCTACAGCTGCANTTAGAAAATGTTAAAAAAATTTAACTCTGTGCCTATATTGACTATATATAAAGTAATTTTCCCACGGCACACCTTACACTATGTCACGGCACACAGTGGTTGAAAAACACTGACATAGGCAATTATATGGTTGTTAATCCAAATTCAAAGGCAAATGCCTTCAGGATCACTAATTATGAGGGATTTCTAAGAAAGGTGAACAGAAAGATAAAAATAACCTTTATTAAAGTTTAATACTTACTGGAGTATATGGTGCTTACATGGAGTGCTTCTTGGAATGGATTCCAAGGATGTATGCAATGGTCCATCATGGCATACCCATGCAGGGGATGGATTTGTAAAAATTTTATTATAATGAGCATTCATTATTCATCAGTACAACATAGACTTTTAATTAAAAATGTGTGAGAATAAAACTTACTAGCCTGTGAAATGTCTTCCCTATGAACTTCTTAGTGTCCCAGCATCACTCCCTCATAAATTCCCAAGCTGTGGTATACATCTATGTCACATTTTTATATGAAAAGCCCACACAGTGGTTAAATATGGCACTAGCTTGGTCCAGGGTATACAATGCAATGATGTACTTATAATTACGTTATATAGCAAGCTCAGTGGTAGCTATTGTATGCTCTACCCTGATTGGCAGCAGAATTTCAAGGAAAGTTGATTCTTCATACCTACTAAGATTTTCTAAAAGTATCTGTTCTAAGGAAAGGAGCAACTTGGAACTAAGGAGAAATTTCCTAACAGTTAGAACAATTAATCAGTTGGAACAACTTGCCTCCAGAAGTTGTGAATGCTCCAACACTGGAAGTTTTTAAGAAGATGTTGGACAGCCATTGGTCTGAAGTGGTGTAGGGTTTCCTGCCTAGGCAGGGAGTTGGACTAGAAGACCTCCAAGGTCCTTCTAACTCTGTTATTCTATTCTAATATTAACAAACAGGCCTTCTTAATTCTGGGATTAGTGATCTCAGTGGATCCTAGTTTGTAATTCCTGAGCAGAAAAGACAGCTGAGTAAATCAGTGTAGGTGCCCAATGGCAGTGCCTCTTAAAGCCTGGGCAAAGGTCAGCTGAGAGTTGTTGCTTCTTCTAAGAAGTGCAAAAAGGCAACTACTGTCAAAGAACATCATCAAGAGAAACTCTGAATAACGGGTTGTATAGGACCTGGTAAGCTCTGGAAAATCATTAGAGATTTGAACCAATATGTTCCCAATGTATCATCTGTAACTATAATCACCACATTACCTCTTCATTGAAAGGGACATATTCTCAAAGGAATGGGGGCCATGGAGAACACTCATTGGTGGATGGGCACCTTAGAAACTGAAATTATGAATAAATGTAACTATTTATTTATTTATTTATTTATTTATTTATTTATTTATTTATTTATTTATTTATTTATTTATTTATTTATTTATT